TTATAATAAAAAAGTTCTTAGATTCTTTTTACTAATATACTAATATAAAGAGGGACTTATAGATCCTATTTATATTATCCTTTCCTATTTACTATTATACCTAAGCCTAAATATAACCCCCCTTTAAAACTAAAGAGATATTCTTCTAACTTTTAACTATTTAAAGTATATAATAACTATTATAATATAGTTCTATAAATAGTAATAACTATAATACCTTTAAGTATAAATAAATAATAAAGAATAATAAGCTAGATTAGGTCCTAATTAGGTCTTAATAATAATATAAATAAAGGTAGGTTTAAAGTATAATATTCTATTATTTAATTAAAGTTTTTTATAAATTTTTATTTATTAATATAATAATATTTATTAAAAGTTAAAAAGAAATAAAACTAAAATACTTCTTATTAAACCTAAAGGTAAAGGTAGTTAAAACTATCTTAATTACCTTAACCTCTTTCTTAATAATATCCTTCTTAACTACCTTCTTAATAGTCTTTTTAAGCTTTTTACTTTTATTTAAAAGGGGCCTTTTCTTCTTTTTTTTATTCTTAATACTCTTTTTAACTAAGCCTTTTCCCTTTCTATTAATAAGGGCTTTCTTAGCTCTCTTCTTTAAGATCTATTATACTAAAAATAGACTTATAATAATAATATAATTAAAAAAAGTTTAAAATAACTTAAATAACTCTAGCTTATTATTATTAATAACCTTATTATAAATAATAAAATTAAACTTATTAAAAAGTATAAAAGTATTATATTAAAGCTTAAAATAATTAATTAAAGCTATAAATAAAGAGTATATTATATATATATTATTAATAAGTCCTTTAAAAATACTTACTAATTTACTCTAAATTATAAATATACCTAAAAATAAGTATACCTTATATATTAAAACTAAGCTAAAAAGTATAATAAAAGTAACTATACTATAAGTATACTTCTTAGTTATATTACTTATAGTATAATATTAATAAATAATTATATTATATAGTTAAATATATTTTTTATTCTTTTTATTAATAAAACTATTAATTATATTAAAAGGCTAAATTAAAGCCTTAAAAATAAATTAAATAACTTATTAAGATTAAATAGTAATAATAAACTTAGTAATAAATATATAAATATAAAAATAAAAAAGCTTTTTCTTTATATACTAAGAATAAGAGTTTAAGTTTAAAGCTATATTAATTAGCTTTTAAATAGGAAAATAAGGTAAAAAAACTTATCTTTTAGCTTATAATAAACTAACTACCTTTTATTTATAAAAAGTAAATAATTTATATAGGGAATTTATATAGAATTAATACTTATAGAAGTAAGGTAATATATTCTCTTTATTAGCTTCTTTTTTAGACTTTTATTTACTTTTCTTTTTTTCTTTTTAGGCTTTTAAATTAAAAAGAATAAAGTAAATAATATAGTCTTTATAGCCTTTATAAGACTAATAAGAAAAAAAAAAGGAACCTTAAAGGTAATAATATAATATTAAAAGTTATAAAGAAACTAGAGAAAAAATAAAAGATTAATAAAAAGTAAAAAAAAGAAAAATAAAAGTAAAAAGTAAAATAAAAGCTAATAAGAATTTATAAAAAAGATTAGGCTATTTAGAATAAACTAAAAAAACTAAATAATAAACTAATAAGCTATAATAAAGTAAATCTAATTAAAAATACTTTTTATAAAGTATCTTAAAACTATAAGCCTAGACTTATATAAAAGCTTTAATATAAAGAAAAATATAATATCTTATAAATTCTTAATTATTAAGTAAGATATATTAATAAGTATAAAGAGTAAGAAGAATAAAGAAAAATATATATAAAAGTAAATAAAAGCTATAATATTAATAGTTAAGAAACTAAAAGAACTAATAAAGGGATTAAAAGCCCTTTTTTAGTTAAGTATAAAAGTAAGAGTTAATAAATAAGATATTATAAAGTAACTATATAGAGTTAGTTAATAAAGAATAATAAGATTTAGTAAGGAAAGGCTATAAATATAAAAGAAGGGAATATAAAAGGGAAAGAAGAGGTAAAAGAGAAAAAGAAGGAAGATATATTAATAAGAATAAAGAAAATAATATTAATAATAAAGAAAAAAGAAAAAAAAAAAAAGAAAAAAGAAAAGTATTTTTTATTTCTTACTAGCTACTAGCTAGTAGTTAATAAGGTTTTAAATTACTTATTTATATAAAATCCTATTAATTATAAATAAAATTAAAATAATAACTTATTAGCTATATACTAGCTAATAAAAAAATAATAATAATTATAAGTATTTAAATAAAGTATAACTAAAATTATTATTTAACCTTTATTAAAAGCTAATAATTATAAAGAAAATATATTTATTTATTTACTAAGTCTTATTATATAATATAAGCTAATAATAATAAGAATTAAAGGTAACCTTAAAAATACTATTATAATATCCTTTATAAGATATACCTTAAACCTATATAGATAAAGTATAAGGTATTAAAAGTAAAAGAAGATAGTAAGTAAAGATAAAAGTTAAAAACTTTTAAAGGGAAGGAGAGGTAAAGGTATTATAAAAGCTAGAAGGCTATAGTAGTAGTTAAGCTTAACTAACCTAAAGACTTATAAGGCTAAATATAACTCCCCTTAATATAAATAAAAATAAAAAGAAAGAAAAAGAATTAAAAAGTTAAAAGGTTAAAAGAATAATAAACTTAACTAGTCTAAAGATATATAAAATTAGATATAACCCCCTTAATATAGATAAAAACCTAAGAGGAAAGAAGGTAGTTAATAGGCTTAGCTAACTAGAGTAGTATAGGCTAGATATAGGCTAGGATATAGATAAAAACCTAGTATATAGTATTAAGAGGGGTCTTACTAGACCTCTATATACTTTAGAATAAGACTATAAAGAATCCTATAAATATAGATAAGGTTTTCCCCTAGGTACTCTAGTTTTTCCTTACTTTATAATTAGTAAAGGTACTAGATAGGTTATTTAGCCTAATTAGTATATAAGAATAATAATAATAATAATTTACTATTTATTAAATTACCTAAATTAGACTTTATAGTTTTTCTAATACCTTAATAAACTTATAAATATTATATTTATTAAGAATTATTATATAATAATAAATTAGTATATAAAAAAAGCTAGTTTTTATCTAAATAGCCTTAGGTTTATATTTAATATAATAAGGTATTAGTATAAGGAATTTACTATTATAGTTTTTTTAATATTTATAAGTTTATTAAGATATTAAAAGTATTATAAGGTTTAATTAAGGTAATTTAATAAATAAATAAATAAATATTATATAAATAATTTATAATACTTATTTTATATATTTTAAAAATACAATAAGTTTTTAATTTAAATCTTAATTATATCTAAATAGTTTTAATTAATATATTTTTTATTATTATAATATACTTTTCTTTAGTTAAATATACTTTTTTAATATATGCTGGGGTTTTGAGAAGGACGGCTTGTTAGCAATACGAGGTCCCGTCCGCGTCCTCTAGCCCTGCCTATTAGCTTCACCCCAGCCAAGTTCAACACGGGCGAGGGCGCTAAAGAATTTTTTTAACGCAATTAGCAACGCTAGCAACGCTAGCAACGCTAGCAACGCTAGCAACTCCAGGGATAACTGGAACACAAGCCTCGCGCATAGCGCCCAATAGCGATGGCCAAGACAACCAACTCAACCCAAAGTCCACCCTATGGACGCTTGATTCACCGAAAACCGCTGAGAATATACTTTTGAAACCACCCTGGTAATTGTTTTCCTTGTTAAGAAAAGGAAATAGTGCGTACGCGCCTTTCGGTCGTTCTTAGTTAAGCCTAGGGCAACAAAAATCTCTTACTTATCACATGTTAGGAGCTACTAGTTACCCCTCATCGCTAGCTTAGTAAGGTAAGTCATAAGTGCTAGAAATTCGACTAGCATTATCTAGACATTTTTCATTGCGCAATACGTCTAAGTAGCTCAGCATATAAAATACGAATAATAGCCTCAATAAACATACTTCTAAAAACTTTAAATTGAAAGTAATATTTTAGCCCCTGTTGAACAAGAAAGCTCCTACTTTGCACATCCGCAGCCGCCACATCGAGTTGCGCCCGGGTCGCCGCCGCAGACTTTGCAATCCTTGCACATGACTGGCGTTTTTCGCTAGTTCACTTCCGAGAAAATTTGCAAGTGCTATTAGGTTTAGTATTGTACTGAAATTGTCGGAAATGCTACTAACTATGTTATGGAAGGAAAATAGCGATCAGTAGGTATTTTCTTTTGCTGGGAAAAAGACGGATAAGTAGGGGCTGGACTTGCGTTAAAAACGCTTTTTTCAAATTTTATAGAGAGCTACTAGCCAGACCGACTCAAAAGGCTAGACGGACTATCCACGTGATTATAGAAAAGTGGGGGTTTGTAAGGTATATAGTTTTAGGTGTAATTTATATATAAATAGAAGTACCTTTTGAATAACCACGTGGCGTAGAGAGAATCAGGCAATGGCGCAGAATAACGTCACGACAGGCAATAAAGGCTCGGAAGTCGCAAACGGCGCAATCCCTAATGAGATATTTAGCGGATATTTTAAAACCGACCAGCAGTCGAGAGTGGCAGACGGGCGCGCAGCTGTCGCAGCCACGAGCCATTTGGACCAAGCAACAAACCAGCCAATCATGTCCTACGACAATCAGTACTCGGCCATAGATAATTCGTTTTCGGCCACTACCAACCTCATAAGTACAAGCGTTGTCAACGATCAGCGCGCAACAGCGCGAAGCACCTCATATCTGATAAGTGCCTTCGGTTTTCCCAGTCACGCAATGGACGGATCCCTCAGCGGCAGCCAACATCCAGCATCACCTACCATGGCGAAAAGTCTCGCGGTATATTCGATGGATGGATCATTTGAGACTCTTCGGCCGTTCCCGTCACAACATCTATTCCTTGAGTCATAGCACTGAAAACATGCTCTATTTCTTTGTTCCTATCACGAGTTGTTCCCTTGCCCTGACATGTTGAACTTCCGAAAAGTGAAATGCCCTCGGAATCCTTGACTTTCCAGTTCAGCAACCTTAGAGCGCAGCGCTTGCGTGTCTGGTAGTTCCATCCAACCCCACTCTGCTACTTGCTCGTCTGTACCCAATCCAATATTCATGAAACCTCCCCTCTCGCAAGTCCAGCCAACTCGACTATCGATGATTGTACTTGTCCTAGTTAGCCGATGGACATATGTTTCGGGTTCGGCAGACCTACTATCCACCGTTAGGCATGTCCTCGATCCTTGTTATAATGCCGTCTCTTTTCATGTTACTTAAGGGCGTGTTTAAGAGGCCCCAATTGTCAGAATCGTCTTTCGCGCTGACGAATTGTAATTGAGAACCCTCGTAGTATATCACTCTGGATCCGGGCATCCAAAATTGCACCAGAAGAGTATGAATCGCTTCGCGATGATCCCTTTCATCTCTATTGTGAAAGAACCATGCGTACTCGGATGAAAGTCGAGCGCTAAAGTATCGGGAATAGCCCCAGCGATAGTCTGGGATGATGGATAGCACGATCCCACGGATTTCCTATCATGTTAGATAGTGGCATAGAAAAAGAAAATCACATTCAAACGTACAATATCATTCATAGTGTTGCGAAACACAAAATCTAATCCCTGCGGCGTCCTTGTATAATACCCCTCGTTGAAAAAGCGAGCGAAACGCCTCCCTTTTCCTACGACTTCCTTGGCATTATTTTCCTCCTCCTCGGCATCTTTGACTAGGTAAACCCCGGTTCGCTCGATGGAAGCCTTTGCCTTGAGCGTTGAGTCTGAATGCGATGAAGACATGGTTGCGCAACTTTTTAAGGTGGCCAAGCTTTGAGGGATACTATGATGGACTTTTTATACAGTAATGAGGGGCATACACAGTGGACCTGCTGTGGAGCGTCGTTATGGTTACATAAGACAGCAACACAGTTAACATAGATATTACGCAAAATTGCTCTTAATTATGACTAGTTATCTATTCACGAGACTAACCCTGTCTATAATCACCACAACCTCCAAAATAATAAGCTCCTGCACTCTAGACTTGGTGATTCCGTCATCTGGCTACAGCTGTCTCTTGTCCCCGCGTGAGCGGACCTCGCTTCCGAGGACCAGCCCCGGAAGTCGCCGCGCCAACTATTGTCCCCCGGACAGCCGATGACTCTGTCCTTGGCCATTCCCTCGACAGTGCTGCCCTCCTCCCCGGATAGCTGAGCCTTCTCCTCGCATCCATCAAAATTCAATTCAGTGACCCTGCAAGGTTTGCGCCCGTGATCTTTCGCGTACTCATGCATGCGGTATCTGAGAAGATGCCTTGCAGCATATCCTGGGCCGGCTGAGGCAAGTTTCGCATCAATGTTTCGGCAAGTGCCCGAGGCGTTGCGCGAGATCGGAGACCCGTGACTCTTACGATAGCACTGGCAACAAGCACAATATAGAAAACCGAACAGGCGCTATGCACAAGCCTATTAAAGAGTGGGAAGAGTGCAGTAGCAACAAAGATAATCACAAGAGAGTAATATATTTTGTTCATAGTCTTGTCAAAACCCAGGCTCGGCCGGTCTATTTATTCTTGCACACGGCTATATTATCGTTGTAGGGGCTACCGAATACTTTCCTCGGCCATCGCAATGCTTGAGCGGTATAGCCCGCGCGACATGGATGACGTCTGTTTGTTATATCCTAGGACGAGCGCTTGAACTCGCAGTCAGCAGAACATGTCAACCTTCGTCAACCCCCCAAGCCGTCGAGCCGCAGCATATTCGCACCCTCTATCGTGTCCACACGATACGGGCGGACTTCAGGGAGAGCTTGACTGCGCTTTACCCACTCTTTTAATCACATCAACCTAGCTATTTTATAACCTAGGCGTATAGATAAAACAATTAAGTTTAGGCTTATAAGCTAAGAGACTCTCTAGGGTTTATTCTAATTTATTTATATACCTATATCTAATAAGATTAAAAGAGTAAAAAGAGGCTAAGATATCTAAGTTATTTAGAAACTAGTTAGGATTTTTACTAACTATATACTTAAAATAAAATTTAGCTTAGTAAAAGTCTTATTATTTTTTATTATATATAAATAATTATTAAAAAAAGTAATAAATAAAGTTATATTTTAAATTAAAAAGAAAAAAAGGATTTTATTCTTTTATATAATTAAACTTTTATAATTAATAAACTAAAAAGATTAAATATTAAGATTATAATATTAAATAATAAAATAAATAACTAAAGTATTTTATTTAAAGTATAACCTATAAATAAAAAGGCTAAAGGTAAGATTCTATAATAAGGAAATTATATTATAACTTTATTATAAAATTACTATATTTATATTAATAGATAAGATATAGGCCTAAATATAGTAATAACTACCTACCTTATGTTATTAGTATTATAACTTGTTTTATATTTAGTATAATAAGGTATTGATTTGCTGCTAGTTATGAACTATAAGTCTGCCTTGGGCTTGTACTTAGGTAGTAGGTAGATATAGGAGATTGGGGACGTATGTTGTGATTTAAGTAGAGATCACAGTGTGTATACTAGCTAAAGACCTACTTATAGTAGAAAGCTAGAAAGGGATAGCAGTATATAGATAAAAGAGTTAGGTTTAGAGAAACTAATCCTAATTACTAATAGAATTAGGTAATAAAAAGATATACTAAAAAAGTAGAATTAGGCTAATTAACTAGGCTAGAAAATAGGTATAAAAAGGAAAGAATTTCTTTTCCTAATTAAGAAAGAATAAGGTAAAAATAGGTATAAATTCTAATATATATTATTTTTTAACTCTATTATATAAAATTACTTTTAGTTATAACTAGTTATTTAATATCTATATTAGCTTACTTATATAATTTATAAGAGTTATAAGCTTAGAAGGTAAATAATAAAAGATACTTTTTATTATTTAAAACTTCTATTTTACTTATAAACTTATTTAAAATATATAAAAATATTCTTAATTTCTTTTTCTTCTTTTTTAATATATTAACTTAAGAAATAATAACTACTTTAGCCTATTCTAGTTTTAAGCTTAAAGAATTAAAATAATAGTATAAATAAGAATTCTACTTTAAAGCCTATATATTTTTAAAGTAAGTTTAAGATTATATAGACTTAAACTAGCCTTACTTTAATAGTAATTTATACCTAAAGCCTTATAAGATTACTTAGCTTTAGTATAGGGATAAATACCTAACTATTAACTATATAAACCTAAAAATTACTTATAAAGAGATAATAGATTTCTAAAAAGAATTAATAACTATAGCTAAAAAGAGGTAAGAAAATATTAATCTAGTCTAAGTTTAGGTTAGTACTTAATAATAAGCAGCTTAGAAGCTAAAAGAACAATCTCCTATTACCTAGTATATCTAGTACTTACCTATACTATATAACTAGATAGAAGTTATATAATATAATAACTTTACTTCTTACCCTATATATACCTTATTAATTATAATAGGTTATAAGCCTAATAATACTTATATTATAAAAGCTATTAATAAAAGAAAGGAAAGTATTAATTTCTTATTAAATTTACTTATTATTTATATAAGCTAATATTTACTATAAAACTTAAGAAATTTATAACTCCTTATATATAGGAAGAGGAAAGACCCTAAACTCTAGCTAATCTAGAGTATATTTAATAAGTCTATTTACTATAAAAATTCTATATAAAGAAAAAGAAATTCTACTATTATACTCTACTTAGTAATTTATATATAGACTCTATATACTTATTTTATATATATTATAATATAAATTTACTTAGTATAGTTATAGCTTTTAAATAAATATACCTATTAAATTACTTATTATAATCTATAATTCTAAATATACCTATTAAATTACTTACTATAATCTATAGTCTTAATTATTATAAAAGGTATATAGTAACTACTTACTTAATAAGAAGAATTCCTTATTATTTATTTAAATACTTCTTATCTTTAAGTAAAATATAAAGTACTTAGTTTAGAAAGAAAGACTATATACTTAGCCTATTATCCTCTTTATTATCTTAAAGTTCTACTCCCTTAGTAGGTAGTACTATTAGTAACTTAACTTCTATATATAAGCTAAGATCTTTTTATAGCCTTATTAATAATAAATAGCTTAGAAGCTAAAAGAACAATCTTTTATTACCTAGTATATTTAGTACTTACCTATACTATATAACTAGATAGAAGTTATATAATATAATAACTTTACTTCTTACCCTATATATACTCTATTAGTCTTAATAGGTTATAAGCCTAGTAGTACTTATATTATAAAAGCTATTAATAAAAGAAAGGAAAGTATTAATTTCTTACTAAATTTATTTACTATCTATATAAGCTAATATTTACTATAAAATTTAAGAAATTTATAACTCTTTATATATAAAAAAAGGAAAAACCTTAAACTCTAGTTAATTTAAAGTATATATAATAAGTCTATTTACTATAAAAATTCTATATAAAGAAAAAGAAATTCTATTACTATACTTTACTTAATAATTTATATATAGACTTTATATACTTATTTTATATATATTATAATATAAATTTACCTAGTATAGTTATAGCCTTTAAATAAATATACTTATTAGATTATTTATTATAATTTATAGTCTTAAATATATTTATTAAATTACTTACTATAATCTATAGTCTTAACTACTATAAAAGGTATATAGTAACTACTTACTTAGTAAGAAGAATTCTTTATTACTTATTTAAATACTTTTTACTTTTAAATAAATATAAAGTATTTAGTTTAAAAAGAAAGACTATATACTTAGCCTATTATCCTCTTTATTATCTTAAAGTTCTACTTCTTTAGTAAATAGTACTATTAGTAACTTAACTCCTATATATAAGCTAAGATTCTTTTATAGTTATATTACCTTTTTTATTATTTAATATTATATTTTTAATATTAAAAAAGGTATTAAATATTCTAAAACTTAAATCTAAAAGTAACTAGGTTAAATAGAAGCTAAAAATAACTAATATATTATAACTTAGTAATCTTAATAGATTATTACTAAAAAGCTAAAAAAATAATTTTATTTTAATTAAAACTTATAATAGTAAGACTATTAAAGATCTTATTTAAGAATAATAATAAGACTAAGTTTATACTATTACTCTTATTAATATAAGCTTTAAAGAATATACTTATAGCCTTATTAAGAATAAGGTTATAATATTAAATATAATTATAACTTTAAAAAAGAATTTTAAATTAAAAGGTATTATTATTTTCTAAACTATAATTAACTATTTCTTAATATTAACTTTTACTTAATATAGATCTATTAAGAAACTAGCTATAGTATTTATTAATACTTAGGCTAAATAGTAATTTCTTAATAAAGACTTTAAAGTCCTTAAAGCTTTAATAATATATCTTTTTATTAATAGTCTTAATAAAAAGTTTAACTTCTATATTACTAAAATAACCTTTTATCTTAATTTAAAGTATACTAGTAATATTATTATAGCTTTTATAATTATATTTATATAGGTAGTTATAGTTATAGCTAACTTTATTAAGTTTAAATAATAAAATAATAAAAAGTCTAAATAATAAGCTATTTTAATTACTATAATAGCTATTAGAAAGTATTCCCTTTATAGTATAATAAAACTTAATATTACTAAGTACTTTTATTCTTTTTATAAGCTTCTAGGTTATTATATTAAATAATACTAAAAGTTATACTTTAAACTTTATTTAGTAAACCTACCCTTTTTATTTTAATAAAATAGAAAATACTAATACCTAACTAAAAAA